CTGCACATGTCTTTGACATACATTGCGACGCTTTCATTGTTGCGCTGGTTTCTTGCCTGCAAGGCAGCTTCAGCTCTTTCCTTGCGGCCTGTGCTCCGGTATGAGTCCAGTAGCTCCCGTCGGAAGTCATCCCACGATTGAATGGCACCTTCATGATTTTCGAACCACGTTCATGCGCTGTCCTGCAACGCGAAATAAACGCGGCGGAGCTTCCGTTCTTCGGTCCATCTGTTGCAGTTGGCGACGCGCTCAAAACCTTCGAGCCAATCCTCGGCGTCTACAAGAGGATAGCCATGAAAAGGGTCGGGCATCTGTGACTCATCGAGAACGCGGTGCGTGGCAGCGACTGGAGACAAAACGACGTGCGTGGCAGCGGTTGGAAACATTTAGCTACTCTCACCGGAGACAGCTGGAGACACGCTCTAGTGGAAGGGGGAATTCTGGCGGCTCACCACGTAGACGACGGCTGGCGCGCTGATGAACTGGCACGAGCTCGGTTGGTTCGAGTAGTCATGATTCCGGGCTGCTTCCTCCAAGTCCAACTGGGTTTGGGAGCATTACCCCGCACCTCCACCAGATTTGTTACGCACAATACAGATGGTTTAAGAGTAACTATTTATTGGGGCTAACTTGTGCCTGAAAAGCAAAGGAAAATGTAGCAGCGTCCCTAACAGGCGATCCGCAAAAGGAATCAATCTTCGGGAAGACCTTGAGCGGTGCCTACTTCTTTTTCGTCAAAATCCCGTGCTGAGGAGGTGCACGACGTCACGGCGCGTGCCTCCGAAAGTGGTATTCAAACTACGCGCATGAACTTGCGCGCGTAGTTTGAATACCCCTTCTGCCTTGTGTCAATATGCAGCTGTGGTTCAAACCATATACATTCAAACTGGCACATTATTCCTTATTATTATTCATGTCATTATTAGTGTAAAGGTGACAATACACTCACACCTTATTATAACGAAGTTGCATTTTTCATGAAAATAAGTTTGTTTTATCTTGCAATTCATTATAAAAATAAATACCTATTACTGTATCTATTGCAACAATATTCTTTGTTTACTTCACTATAACAGATATTTCGTTATATATATGTTTTTATATTGAGGTTTGAGTTATTGTAAATAAAAGAGCACCGTGTGGCAGAACTGAAGAATGAAGTTTAATAACTATCTAGCTACAGAAGGAAGAAGCAAGGAGGAGTCTTTTCATCCAGTAATCACAAAGAGATTTAAAAAAAGGTTACACAATGCAAAGTATTTAGTACCCTCATAGAAATTCACACCTTTAAACAAAGAAAAAAGTCATTCACACACATGCACACATATGCACATAAAAAACTGAAGCACAGATGAAATTAGAGAGACATAAATGTGAAAAATAATTTTACATAAATTAGTAAATTATCCTTCGTATATCAAACATGCCATAAAAAATTGAGGTGATCACGCTGTCTTTAAACTCCAGCACCAACTCACTGTGACATCATAGGCTTTAATAGCAACCCCCAAGGCCTACGTAATTCTTCATATGTAAAAACAAATTACACTGTTTAAGGCAGTGAGACATTTACCTAATAGAGCACATTAAAAAAAATATTACAGAGTCAAAATACAAGAAGGAAGACCTATAAATGCATGGGGGAGCTATCACCCCCGTAACGTCGTTTGCGCATCATGGCGCACGCGCCTAGCAGATCAGCCGCAGCTAGATTTAACAGCCGCCGAACAAAAGGTAGTGCTTGCCTGCTTGGGGTAGGGTTAGAGCGGCTTCAAACAAGAAATCTCATGTGGATTCAAACAAGAAGTCAAATTTTTTAATATAATGACCAGTATGCGCAATGGCATGAAATAAGCATGCCATATTATAATGAATCTGGTCTCTAAAGATGATGTTTGCTCTGATCTGTTTGTTTGAGCCGTAATCACATCTATATCACCTGAACTGCAAAAATTGAAAATGAAAATATATGCGCCACTTAGCCCTAAATTCTCATGTTTTAATCTGTGAGTACTGTGCATGTATTTGTTGCTTGACGGAGTGACTGTGTATATGTTTTCTGATAGCGGCCATCTGTCGAGACTCCACAACATTGACCTCAGGTGCTAGGGTTAACTTTCATTTACTCTTCCACGAACAAAACCATCATTATGAAGAAATTAACAATAAAACTCTCAAGGGGAGATGCGAGTCGAAAAATCGCGTTTTTAGCGAAATTTCTCGTATTTCTGATTTTTATTGCATTGTAATCTTCAAACCTTCTTCTTTCAGCTGTGAAAATTTCAAAACTAAATTCGAACCGCAAAATGCAAAAAAATGTGTATGAAGGCATCGCGGTGGCTCAAAATTTCGTGAATTTGCGCCGATATTGGCCATCTTTGCGCGCTGCTCCCCGTCGCAGTGCCGCCCGCCATCGCGATCGGTTAAGAAAGTTGCGTCCGGCCGTCTTCTTACAGCTCTGACGACCGTCAGTTTCGTACGTGGGCAAAAAAAAAATAAAAAAACGAGGCCTTTTTATCACGTGGTTTGAGCGGCTTGAAACGCGCGGCACCCTAAGCTGCATCGCCATTGGCTACCGAGTCATTGTCAGCTGTGTTGGTGGCGGCCATCGGCATTTGGTCCGTCTGCTTTTCTGCGCGTCTACGCATATTTCTGCGATGACAAGCCCGAAAAAGTGCAACGTGAGACCGCAGAAGTTTCGAACGAAGCACAAGTTCAAGGGAAGGCGGCGTAAAGCGCCCCGAACGACGGCGACGAACGAGAACGCGCCTACGTGTGCTAGGCCTGACGACGGCATCGACGAGTGCGCGAGCAACAGTGGCTGCGATGAAGGGATTGACACTGCGCTTTCTTTCATCAGTGCTTCAGAAAAGAAGCTCGGCTTCGAAAAAGACGAAAGACAGCGCGATGAGGTTTGTGCAACGACAGTTTTGAGTGAGCCAACGGTACGACAGTGGGAGCTCCCGAGATAGTTTCGCTGTAAATGTGAAGGCGGTGGTGGCTGCACGCGCTGTCGGCATTGGGCATGAGCAATTGTCGAGATTTTGCTCCATTATTGGACTCCCAAAGCCAATGCACCACCGAGGATTTTTTTCGATAGCAAAGAAGGTGCACACCGCTGCCATGGCAGCTGTGAGTGAAAACTTGCGCCGATCCAGAGAGTTGACGAAAGAAGTAGCAGGCGAAACTGATGTGGCTGTTATGTTCGACGGCACTTGGCAGAAGAGGGGCCACAAAAGCCACAACGGGATTGGCGCAGTTATCTCCTTAGATACTGGCCTCTGCTTAGACTTCGAGGTCATATCAAATTACTGCCTGACATGCAGTAGGCACAAGGATATGGGCCCAGACGAGGAAGTGTGGCAGGCATTCCATGGCCCAGTCTGTGAAAAAAATGCAGACTGTTCCTCCCATGCCATGGAAACGGAGGCTGCAATGCGCATTTGGCAGAGAACATTGACTTATGACACCCCACTGCATTTCATGACATTCTTGAGTGACGGTGACAGCAAAGCATATAGGGCAGTTGCAGAGTCAAAAGTCTATGGTGCTGTCAATATAGAAAAAGAAGACTGCACTAATCATGTGGCCAAGAGACTTGGCACCGCGCTACGGAAGCTGCATGTGCCATTACCACGAGGGCAGAAAATGAAATAGCCAGCCATTCAGAAGCTCCAAACATACTATCAGATTGCCCTAACAAGCAACAGGGGGAGTGTACGGGATATGTACACTGCAGTATGGGCTTCATACTTCCACTCATGCTCTACTGACAATGCTGGCAGCCACAAGTTTTGCCCTGCAGGAACAGAGTCGTGGTGCAAACATCAACGCGCTGAAGCACTTGGTGAACCTGCACCACGCCACACACCTCTCCTGACAAAAGCACAGGGATTGGCTGTTTTGCCCATTTATAAGCGGCTAACGGATGAGAAGCTCCTTGCTCGATGCATCAAAGGGAAAACCCAGAACGCATCGGAATCCCTGAACAGCAAAATTTGGCTACTTTGCCCTAAGACTAAGTTTGTCTCCCGAACGGTTGTCGAGACTGCCGCAGCTATGGCAATCCTGTGGTTCAACAAGGGTCATGCTACTTTCGAGCACATCCTGGAAGAGCTCAACATACTGCCATCTAGAGATCTAGTTACTTTCAGTGATTCCCACGATGTGAGGCGCATCAAGAGAATGTCCGAGCGTCTGACAGCAGAAGCAAGGGCCCACCGTCGTCGTGGAGTGAAAAGGGCATGGCTAGAAGAGAGTGCTCGCAAAGACCGTGAGGGCACAACCTATGCTGCAGGACAGTTCTAGTAACTTGCAGTGCTTTTCAAAGTTCTGTTGAACATTATGGCCAAAGATTATGCATTTCTAACAACTCTGTGATAAAAAAAAAAGGTTTCAAACTTTTAAATGCGTTTTTCTCCTTTTGCAGTTTTGTGTGATCTGTGCTTTTTATACACGCTAGTTCGTATACTTAGAATTGTCATACCTCTATGAAATTTTGCACATAGCATGATGAAGGCCCATAGAGTGCAAGTATCTATTCAGATTGTCAGTGCTGCTTGATTATGTTTTTCAAAAATTACATAACATTGAAAGCCCTTGGCAACTAGAGCCATAGTAAATTTTTTTATTTTATTATTGTATTTCACATTTTTACACACAAAATTTATATAGTTTTTTGCACTCTACAGTTCCAAAGGATCATAGTCAGCTATATCTGCATGCTTTATCTCAAATTTTTATAGGTCAGAATTGTTGCATAACAATGGCCATAATTTTGCAGTATCTGACCTGCCGAAAGAAAACCAAGCAATCTACATAAAAATAAATGACATATTTGAAAAGAGGAGAAAAAACTCTATTAGCATGCCAATTTGTGTTAAATTCAGACTCTTATTAAAGAAAATCGTTTTTCGAGTAGCATCTCCCCTTAAGTCGTAGGTTCAGATAGAATTAGTGTTTTGCTGTAGTGGCCCTTTAAATGAAGCAACTATACAAACCTTTCCTTTGGATGATTTCTCAGGAGGCATTTCTTTTTTGGCAGCTGGTGTGGTGAACAGGTCCCCCATAGAGTTATGAGGTGCCTGTGGAGGAGGCGAGGGTGGCAGTGGCGGCGGTGGTGGCTGCTCAACAGGTGGACTTCTGACCATGTCCTGTGTTTTGAGTGAGCGAGAAGATATGGAGCGTGAGGGTAATTGCTGGAAAATAATCAAACAGCAGTTCCGGCAGGGCATCCTTAAGAACAACACTGGGCAATGCTCCGACTAAGAACTGGGTGCATTCCCTTAGCACAGTGCCTGCTGTTCTCACTGAATCGTGCTGCTTGATTATGTTTCAAGAATGCACCAAGCAGCCCTGTTCACCTGACTACTATGGATCTTCATAATCACCAAACAGTATCTGTTAGCGAAGTGGGACAGTTACCAAAAAAGTCAGGAGGAATTGGCTCACACAGAAACTGCTGATTTGGCTCTGTTATCGATACACTGAACATAAAGCAAGTTGCTGCAAGGAAATCAAAGCAATGCTACTTGACAGCCGGACAAGAGTTCCGGAGCAAAGCCCAATTTTTCAGACGAGCTATACTTCACAACTGGTCTGTTTCTGTCAAGACGCATTTTAATTCTCAGCCTTCTCCTTATGCACACATAAAAGGTAATTTGAGAACCGCTATGGATAAAAAGAAAGCATTATATGTGCAAGGCACAGTTATACCCGTGACACACGGGCAAAAGTAAAGTACTTTGAGGTAAACCCCTTTTGTCGCCTAAGGGGACCATTTGCAGAAAGGAGTGGCGCTGATGACACACGGCACCGGACTACTGCTTTAGGGGGTGCCTCAGAAGAACGCTGCAGAAAAAATGGCGCTGTTTGTGGAAGCAGCAAGATCGGAAATATTAAAAAGAATCTGCGCATGTACATCACATTCAGCGACGCCGGAGCATAAAACCGTTTTTTTTATTGTCTGGTGGCTTGTAATGCGCATACCTGTAATTTTCTTTCGCTTTTTTGCGTTTTTAGCAGCCACTTAAGTTCGCCTGGCAACTATGAACAGTTGGTGTTTTGCTGTTTTTGTTTTTTGTCGTGCTTTTTACATGGCTGCGTCCAGCTGGGTCAGTGACGGCGTGCCACGTTTCATCGTGGTCCTGCGATGTCTCAGCGCAGAGACAGAGATAAAGCAACAGTTGAGGTGGGCCTGACTCTTGTCGCCCTCGGCTCCATTGAAGACGAGCTAAACGCTGCGAAGGCAAGAGTGATGAGCCTAAAACAAAGACTCGTCATGAACAGCTTCATTTTGACTGCTTCCGCACTGTCCCCCCGAGCCATCAACCGCGAAAGATGGGCCTATGTGCGCAACGAACGCTGGTTTGAAGACACATTGCCGTTATTAGGCGACGGCCACTTTAAGCAGTGTTTTCGAGTGAGCCCGACACAGCAACTGCCGCTGCCAACCCTAACATGATCGCGCTAGTGACGTAATGCAGGCGTTTGAGAGTATGGACAGACTATAGGCCTTCACTTTTCAACAAATCGCACTGCTGCTGAAAATGAAAACATTTTCTCAGCGCAAAAAAAAATACTGACAGGGCACCGCGGTGTTGCGACACGTTTTCTTCTATTGATAAATTATGCACACTTTATGCGAGAGTGCTCCCTTCCTGCCAGAAAAGTAGATGCGGGATCTGCTTTTGCGAAAAGGATCTTTGCCGGAAAGGATTTACTCCTTTGTCGTGTGTTACTGCGCCTGAACGCCTTTCCGAAAGATGTCCCCTTATCTAAACGACTTCAGGGTGCCCGTGTGTCAGGGGCATTAACCATTGTTATAACAAATTGATTGGGATGGCAAATAGCTTCAACGCAAGTGATAATAGGTGGATAGCAAAACAGCGTGTTGTCTGCTATGGATCTCCCGGCTCGAGGCTTATCCCTTTGGTGCTTCAAGGTGCCTGGTGCAATGTGAAACACGGGCAATTCTGTGACGCTTTTACTACCGCTTGTTCAATAATTCCCTTTTTCAATTCATTTTGCGAATGAATAGATGATATTTTGCAAATTTCAGAGAACAAAGCGAGACATGAACATGGGCAAAGATGAGGAGCATGGAGAGGTGGGTTTCAAACACAGCATGCGGTTATGGTTTCATACACGCGATAGTCTTCTGCAGAATAAGCTTGATCTAGTATTTTTGAGTGCATACACATATGAAGACCACTTCAAGATCACCTACGCATACGTATGATAACTACATAAGTATGCATACTCTGAAATCAAGTATGCCAATATATTATATTTCTATTGCATAATCCGCATCGCCAACCGTCTGACAAATTTGCGGAAACATCTGAACGTGTAAAAAGCTCACAAGACAAAATGGTTCTTCAAATAATGGTAACGTGAGACGTAAAACGATTGGAATCACTTTTGAAGCAACGAGCAGCATGGTATAGCGTCTCTACTATGTCAGACTTGCGTGAAATCCTGATAGGTAGTGTTATACTCCAACCTAAAGGCTATGTTACAGAACTGAATGCTGAGTGCGGAGAATTTCGCATGTATTGAAAGACAATGCTAGAGTGTGTGAGGGGATGACACCTCATGTAAAGGGATATTGAGAGGCATAAAAGATGTCAGACAACTATGAGCGCATTTCATTTTTAGCATTTGAAACACTTTACTATAACCACACGCTATATCGAACCTGGGATGGTATCTTTGCAACTCAAAAGTAAATAAATCATTTCACGGGAACGTGAGCAACATGAAAACAAAGGATATTTCGTGATCCTATGATGTGCAGAAAATCCTTGTATGTGACAAAATATGCGCGATTGTAACCTTTGCTGCAAAACAACAAGCACGTGTTCGAAGAAGCATGCCGATTCAATGAAAAAATCCCTGCTCGCAGCAATATAACTATATCGTAGTGTTTGCATTTGTTGTTAAACCAAGCTGGATAGCACTCCCAAGTATTACGCAGTAATTTGTAAGAAAAGGGCACCACGAGTGCAAGGTGGAACAAGCAAGAAGCGTTGGCACTGGCAAGAATGCTCGCACAGTATCATGGCGTCTCGAACCGTAAGTCGGTGCAGACGAGGGTGGCACCACACCATCCGGCTGAGTGAAGTGTGGCAGTTTGGGTTAGTTGTTATGACATGATGATAGTTATAGCACGAGAACAGAAGGACGACAAAGGGACAAGAAGGAGACGAATCGCTAACTTGCAACTCTGGAAGTTAGCGCTCGTCTCCTTCTTGTCCCTTTGTCGTCGTTCTGTTCTCGCGCTATAACTACCAGTGGGTGAGCCACGATTTTGCTACCCATCTATTTGATGAAAGTCTACGAGCCATAAATGTTGCAATAATAGCATAACAGCTGTTCTTTTTTCACAATATTGTAAAAGTAGAGAGACAAGGGTGCCGAAGTTGTTAACCTTAGCGATGGTCGTCCTAGTCTTTTTATTAACCTGATGAACAAGGCCATCTGATGCAAGTTCCTGCAGCATGCAAGCAGGGTCACAACTTATTCAAGTAATCTACAAGCCTGCAGTCCCTCCCGCTGCATTGAATGCCGTTGCAAAAGAGCCACAGCCATCCCCTCAGCCAGTGGTCAAAGAAACAATGCCCCTACATTATTACTGCATGGATCAGGCGGCAAAAAGCAGTAGATGTCTCACAAAGAATTTAGTGTAATGCGATTCTACAAGCTATTTGTTTATATTCTCTTTTGTCATTCTTTTCTTGCCTCTCTTCTGAAATCTTTTAGTCTCCCTTCCCCATATCTGAAGAGCAGGGGTCTGAAACAAGCGGGGCGCAAGCCTCTTTCATACAGCCCACAGCCCTCACATGACTGTTTGAAACCCACATTTAAAAATTTTTCTTGATGGGTATGCTTGTGAGCTATACAGGCCTAAAACATTGTTTTTGTGAGGCACCCCATGTGGTCACCTTGTCTTGAAGCATAACCATAAACAATGCCTATTTTATAATTGGCACCCTAGATTTTAGTCACTTTGTAGATAGGTATATCAATACAGTTGTTGGAATCCTGGCACCAAACGTTCTTAAGAAATCACCCGTATATAAGATATGGGAAAGGTTTTCCTTCATGTGGCAACGTTTGCTGGCAATTTGTACAAGCCCCTTTTCCCCAACCCCTTTCGTTCTTACACTTAAGGCCTCGGCACTCGTGGGATCAAATTGTGGGACTGCGTCACACTGGCTGAAGTGAGTTTGACATCCCTGCTATACAAAGTAGCATGCCAGCGGTATATAGACACCGGCAAAAATCTGTTTTTCTAAGAAAGAGTCTCTCTCCTCTCTCATTTCTACAAAATAACAGCCAATAGTGATCCAAGGATGCATCTACGAATCACTACACCCATAATTGGAGCAATAAAGAGCAGAGCTGCATGCATTGTTCAGCTGGTCTAAAGTTTCAATGTTGTACGCCCGCCTGCCTGCATTAAACTACCGTGATGCACACGTACACGAGTGATACACAAGCTTCGCCAGGCATGAACAGTGCCAAAAAGCATTTACCTAGGAAAAGATGCAACTTCCAGGGTACTTTTCCTATACTTTTGTCTCCCAGCTAGACAAGTACAAGAAAGAAGCTCTCGTGCGTGATAAACTGGCCATTACTGCTGAAAGCACAAAGCGCAGCGATGGAATGGTGGCCTGAAGTTTCAATATCAGAAGCCGTGTACGATTGTATTGTGCTATTGTATTGCTTCACCATTGCATCAGAGATTAAAGCATGCAATCTGGCAGTCTCACAAGCTAAGCAGGTGGCAAGCATTAAACTCCATCTCTGGTAAAGCTGCAAGTCACAGCTCCAGTAGCGTTAGAACAACGGTTGTCCATTTCTCCATACCACATTGGAGAAAAAAAAAGAGCATGATGTAGGTCAAGTGGCAAACACAAGCCAGGCTCTGCATCTTTGGTCGGTGTGAGAAGACGTGCCTAGCCATTTTGGTTGCCTGAAACGTTTTGGTTGTCTCAAAATACTAACTTTTTTTTGGATTGCTCTTCAGGTAACAGAATTAGCTGTTTGAGTAAACTAGTCTGAAATGCGCTTGCATCAAATCTGCATGGATCTTCAATAACAGTGATTATTCAACAAAAATGACTTTGCTGTAACACGGTTTGGCCAG